GGGTTCAAGCAATTTTCATGCCCCAGCCACCCAAGTAGCTGGGATTACAGGTGTGTGCCACCATACCTGGTTAAGGTTTTGTATTTTTAGTAGAGACAGGGATTCACCATGTTGCCTAGGCTGGTCTCGAACTCCTGACCTCAAATCATCCATGTACCTCGGCCTCCCAAAGTGCTGGGATTACAGGCGTGAGCCACTGTGCCCAGCAGCTGATGGATACTTTTAGCCATAACTGGGTCATGGCATTATACGTCTCTCCCTATGGGAGTCCAGGGATCTCTGAATGTGAACTCCTATGCAGTGACATTCTTTGAAACCTATTTGTGTTGTCTCAACATTTGGTTCCGTTCCACACACACAGTCTAAGCACCCACTCTATGCCAGATCTGTGCATCCATCTCCAGTCCATTTGCCTGTTTGCTTTTATTCCCTTTAAAGTTGTAAGGGGACTTAGAAGTCATGTAGCCTGAGGGCCTTGATAGGCAGGTGCAGAAATAAGATCCTGGGAGGTAAAGTGATGAGTCAAGGGCTCAGTGCCAGTGTGGAGCATGGCCTTGCACATGGCCAGAGCTCTGTCTGGCAGCCTTTGGGGTTTGGAGATAGTGATACTAACCACAGAATCCAGTCCTTGAGTGTTTGCCACATGCTGGTGTGCTGCGAAGTGCTTTCCAGCTTTCCATGATTTCCCTTGTTTAATTCTGAGAGCATCCCTTAGAGCAGGTACCATTGTCGCTGTTACCACTGCCTCTTTTTACAGAGAGCATTAAGACCCAGAATAACCAGGATGCTTGGCCAAAGTCAGACATATAGTATGTAGCAAAGCTGACATTCCCTCTGGTTCTATGGGAACCTGAAGGCTATGCCCTCTTCTGTTTTGCATAATATACAAGAGCACTTACAAATCTGAGACAGGCAGCTGGTTCTACAATTTAAAAAAAAGAATGAAATGTAAAGTTAAAGAAAGAATGCCAGCCTTTCTTTTTACCTTTCATTCATTTTTTAAAAATTGTTAAAATATATCTAATCTAAAATTTACCATTTAACTTTGTTTATTTGTTTTGAGATGGAGCCTCACTCTGTCACCCAGGCTAGAGTGCAATGGCGCCATCTCGAATCACAGCAACCTCTGCCTCCCGGGTTCAAGCAACTCTCCTGTCTCATCCTCCTTGAGTAACTGAGACTACAGGCACCTGCCACTGTGCCTGGCTAATATTTGTATTTTTAGTAGAGACGGGGTTTCACCATGTTGGTCAGGCTGGTATCAAACTCCTGACCTCAGGTGATTCACCCACCTGGGACTCTCAAAGCTGGGACTACGGTCATGAGCCACTGTGTCTGGCTTAACTTTTTTTTTTT